AGAGTGCTCTTACCTGCAAAATAGTAATTATGTCTTTTCTATATCACTTGCAATCAACTTGATTAAAAAGCTTGGTACAGGTGCGTTCTTGTACAACTCCAGCAGCTAAATCCAAATATCAACACAGAAAAGGTATAATACATTTAGTGTTAGAATATATTCTGAATAGATACATGCAAACACATGCATATATTCAGACAAAATATAAATAATGGAGGTACTGTGGAAGACAATTCAGTAAACATTTCATAATTTAAATGTATTAAAAGTTACTTTAGCCTAACTCTACAGAGTTTATAGTACCATAAAGGAGCTTTATAACTTCTCTGTACTAACAAGTAGATTCATGATGTTAAAAACAAAACCTGCAATGTATTGTTGACATATGGGATGAATCAGTATTCCTTTGAGGTAGTTTTTTTACATAAGTCTTCATAATTTTTATTCAAACATGTATTCATAAATCTTTTTTCAAATTAAAAGTTATAAGTAAATATAATTCAAAGAGTTCCTCAATACGGATCATAAGGAGAAAAAGATCCAGAATGAGAAAATATCTTTATCGGAACAACATAAACCTACGTATATAAAATAAATCTTCACATTTCCAAATCTGAACTGGTTAGCATAATCAAAAACCCAGGGAAGGAGAAAGTTCAGAGGTTGTGGTGGGAAGAAATATGGCTACTGTTAGGACCACTTCTGGGAAACACTGCAGATATAAAAATCAGGTCGTATCAAATATAAAAGTGACGTTTAGTTGTACTGCACAAGAATCAAGCAAGTAATGTGGTCATCTCCAATTCTTGCAATATAAATTTAATCTGAAGAAGTATAAACAACAGTTTCCATTCTTTTTTAGAATGTATTTGTTCAATTTATAAGGCACAAAGGCTAGAAACCAGGAAATTGTGAGTTCTAGTTTCGCCGCAGGTAGAAAAACCGGTTGGGTGACTTTAGGGCCAGTCACTCTCTCTCAGTCCAGCTCGCTTCACAGGATTTCTTTTGTGGGAGAAAGAGAGGAAGAAGGAATATTAGATATATTCACTGGCTTGAATGACTGAATTTATAAAAATAATAAAGTCAGGATAAAACAATCTAAAAAAACCCATTCAACTGACCCTAAGGAACAAACATCTTGAATTGAAAAATAAAAAAGTAAACAACAAAAAAACAGAACTTATAACAAGCAACAATACAATATGAACACTAATGTCAGCTGGTGCTCCATTCAAAATGCACGAAATAAACACTTAGACTTCCTTAATTGGAGAAAAGATATCGTTTACTGGAAATCAAGTGGTAGCATCAAAGGAATTCTGAATCTGAGGAACTGAGTGCAAAAATCACATATACAAATTGAGGGAAACATTTCCTCCCACAATAGTTCAAACTGTCCATCCAATTAAAAGTTGCATGTAATGTCATGTGAGCATCTTCAGGTGGTGATGAGGCATCTGTCCATTGACCTTGGCCTATTTTGATAAAGAGGTGCGCTTGCGCATAACATAGGAAAGAAGCATAAACAAGAAACTTTCCCCTCCAACTTATACAGTTTTTTTCCCTCAAACCTCCAGCTCACTTCCCATAACTATTTCACCCCTCCTCCCCCCATTACTTATGATAGTCGAAAGATGCAAAGCAAAGAAAATCATGAAGGCTGACAACCAAATTTTTTTAAAAAACTACTCAGTATAAGATCCCAAATTGCCCTGTCCCACAACCTGTTGGAAAGCCACATTTTAGGGCGTTCCTAAATACCTAGGTGGGGCCCTGCATACTTCAGGTGAGGGGTGTGTGATATTGCTGCAATGGACAGAGGTAGCCATCAAATAATGCTATTTAGCAGGTTTCCACAAAGTGTGCCTTATCCTCTGGAATAACATCCTCCCAAAAATCAATGTGGTTCCCACCCTAATGTTGTACCAGAATCCTTCTCTCAGGGTCCAGAGTAGCGTACCTGAGTCCATATTGGGTATATTTTTTGTCCTGCTTGGAGATTTATCTTCGTTTTGTTTATTATTATGGATTTTTAATTTTTATAGTGTAAGCTGCCCAGAGTTGTTCTTCACTTAAATCAAATCAAATACAAATCATCACTTGTCTAGATTTAATAGGATGGTAAAATAAAATTGAAGAGAAGCAGTCATATTCCGAACTGAGCCAAGAAAGATTTTGTAGATAACAACCAGCACATGGAGTTTTATCTAAAGGCCAACAGAGGAGTGGTGCAGCTTGTGAAATATAAGTGTTACCTTGGCATCTAAAGTGTACCATAACCAGTGGTGGGATTCATTTTTTTTACTGCCAGTTCTGTGGGCGTGGCTTGGTGGGCATGGCAGGGGAAGGATACTGTAAAATCTCAAGTCAGAGGTGGTATTTGCTAGTTCTCTGAACTACTCAAAAATTCCGCTACCGGTTCTCCAGAACTGGTCAGAACCTGCTGAATACCACCTCTGACCATAACTACTTGAGCCATTCCAGCCTGCAGCTTCCAAATAGTCTTCAAAGGCAATCCTGAGTAGAACAGAGTGCAATAATCCAAATGTGATTGAGTGATTCTAGATAGGGCTTCCCAATCAAGGAAAGGTCATAAATGGAGCACAAAATGGATCCCTGCAAAGACTCTACTGGTCATGACTGCCACCTGCTCTTCAAACAATTGCTCAGAAAACTCACAAAGTATGCATAAGTTCCATCTGGGGAATAAAACTCCATCAAGAACTAAGCAGAGGTGGTATTCAGCAGGTTCTGACCAGTTCTGGAGAACCAGTAGCGGAAATTTTGAGTAGTTCGGAGAACCGGCAAATATCACCTCTGACTGGAGATTTTACAGTATCCTTCCCCTGCCACGCCCACCAAGCCACGCCCACAGAACTGATAGTAAAAAATTTGAATCCCACCACTGGAAATAAGGTATTTATGTTGACATGCAATGTGCCATATTTAAAATAGAAGGCACCAGGCTAGAAACCAAGAGACTGTGAGTTCTAGTCTCTTTTAGGTAGGAAAGCTGGCTTCATGATTTTGGGCCAGTCACTCTCTCTCAACAATCCAGAAGTAAACAATACTTCATTCAAGGAATTATCAACTCAGGCAAACAACCTAACAGTAAACAATGACATGTAATGACATTTATGGAATTAGATCCAGATTAATTAATTACTAGAAGATTCATAGAAAAAAATGGCCCTGATGTTGGGAAAGATTGAAGGCTAACGGAGAACAGCAGAGAATGAAATGGTTAGATCCGTGTTGGCGAACCTATGGCACTTGTGCCGGAAGTGGCATGCTGAGCTACTTCTGCTGGCATGTGAGAGCTCGCCCGGAACAGCCCCACTGCACATGCGTGCGCGCTGCCACTGCCCGACAGCTGATTGTTGGGTATCTGGCGTGTATGTGTGTGGGGTGCATGGGAGACATGCCTGCATGCGCACAGAGGAATTGCGCACGCATGCGCACAGGGGAATCGTGCATGCATGCATAGAGATGCACAGCACATGGAGGTATCGCACACACATACGCAGGTAGATGGCGCATAGGGGTGATCGTGCACACATGCGCAGACATGTGGCATGCGGCGGGGATCACACGTACAGGCGCAGAGGCGCGCGGTGAGGGAATTGTGCACACATGTGCAGGCACATGGTGCGCAGCAGGGGGTATCACATGCGCATGCACAGAGGGTGGGGGGCAGCACGCAGTGCCTTCTGGGTGCTGGCATGCACGAGCAATTAAAGGTTTGCTACCACTGGGTTAGATAGTGTAATCCACACAATGAACATGAATTTATGCAAATTCCAGAAGATAGCGGAGTCTGGTGTGCTATGGTCCACGGGGTTGTGAAGAGTTGAGCACAACTTAGCGACTGAAACATCATATTTAACCTTGTGGGCCAAACTTATTCATCACTGCTAAACATTAATCCTTGTGGAATCCACATTAGAGTTAGTAGATTTGAACCACTTCTGTAAATCAGTTATTTGGGTGTAGTCTGAAACATTCAGGAAAGAACAATTAAACCTTCTTCACCTTCTTCAATGAATACTTCAATAAACTCAAAGTAAACCGCACCAAACTTGATTGCAGGAAATACGACTTCAGCAATAGAGTGGTCAATGTCTGGAATACTCTACCCGACTCTGTAGTTTCTTCCCCAAACCCCAAAAACTTTAACCTTAGACTGTCTACTATTGACCTCACCCCTTTCCTAAGAGGCCTGTAGGGGGCGTGCATAAGCGCACCATCGTGCCTACCGTCCCTGTCCTATTGTTTCTCTTATTCTTTTATTTTTCTTATATGTACCCATTTCATGTATTCACAACTATGTATACATTTATACTTATTATCTTGTAAACAATTGGCAAATCAAATAAATAAATAAATAAAAATAAATATGTTAAACAAAGTCTGAATTTCCCCTTGTGATGGGATGCCAGAAAGTAACTACTTAAATGAAACAGGCTAACCGGAAATAATTTGCTGTCCTTAAAAGTATACATAATGTTTAATTTATAAATATAGCTTTGTGTCCAGTTAGGGCTTATGTAAGTTATTTCAGAATAAAGATTCCAGTTTCAGATCACTGAATAAGCTCCACTAACATAGAAACGAAATGAAAATCTACATCTCTTCCTTATTGCTTTTTGGTAGACAAAAACAGTTACGTGGACATTCAACTACTGAAACCTTTAATTTACAGTTTATTTAAAGTTGCATCATTACGACTTCCTTTACCACGAGTAACTTTCACGAAATCCAACCTCTTCTGCGCCCAAGAAACCAATTAATTAAAACTTCAATTCCCAGCAAGCAGTGCGGGACAGAGCCTTTTCTAAACGCTTTCCAACAGGGAGAAGAGCCCGGAAGGTTCCCAGGATGCCGTGCGATGGAATGCTCTGCCTTTCCTATTTTCTAACCGGCAACGCCGTTTCTATAGTTCAGTACTTCGTTTGCGTCCGGACTTCATATCCCAGCAGGCTTTGCGACCATGAGCTGCTGGTTTCCGGAGGCAGAACCCAGTTTGACTCGCTGTGCCGTTGGCGAAGCTGGGGAGGTGGCAAGGCTAGACGGGCCTGGCCTGGCGGTGCCGTGGCTGGCGAGCGGCTAGTTGGGCTCCGAGGGGAAAAAGAAGAAGCCTGGGGAATTAAGAGGGGACTAGACCGGGAGAGGGTCTCTCGGCGGCGCCACCGCCACGATGCTCAATATGTGGAAAGTCCGGGAGCTGGTGGACAAGGCGTGAGTATTATAGGGTGCCGAGGAAAGATCTGGGTCTCTTAAAGGGTTCCTTATCCCTCTTAGTAAATCCACCCTGATTTATGCCTGTAATTCGTTTATTTTCCCTTCCACCGCAGCCTCTTTCTCTCTCTGGCCACGGGTTCAGGTACCCCATCTCACCCACCAGACGATCCCCCTTCTAATGCCTCCTACTAGATCCTAACCAAGATGCCATCCAGGTTGGCTCTTTGGGTTGCTTCTTCTGCCGCCTTTACACTTTAGGAGCCGTCACTGAAACTTCTCTCTTTTCCCCAGCTGTAACTGATATTTTACCTGTTGGCGCTCTGGAAACCTGGCCTTTGGTTGTGGTGTGTGGTTGTAGCCATCTCCACCGTCCTAATCCCATTTGATTGCCCCATATTCACTGGTTTCAGCAATGCCCTCACTCAGTCACTGAGGGGGTGGTTGGCTTGGATTCCCAGGGTTTATCAATCTGTACCAGTCTCCCCACTACACACACTGTTTGGGTAGTTTGCCTCTAGCTGATCTTGAGTATTTCCTTCCCAGGAAGGAATCATGTTTAGCATAATTGTTTCTTATCCTGCCAGTTCCAATCCCCCACCCAGTACATTTGCAGTCCTTCATGGGGAGTGTTGTGTTGCGTGTGCTGGCAAGCGTATGTTGCGTTTGCCAGATAGAACGGTGCCTGTTCATACAGCGATTGGAAGTGTCCAAAGGTTTGTCCAGAAATTCACCTCTGGCTTCCATATCTAACACCGTTTCCTTATTACTTTGCTATTCTGCTAAGCCTGCTCAAAAATGGAGGTGGAGGAGAAAAAGGATAGTGAGAGCAGAAATAAAATAAGTTGCGATCTTTGGCAAAGGTGTAGTGGTTGCCATGTGTAAGAGGTACAGTAATGGCTTGTTGCATTTCTGTAATTTAATCTTTGTGTTTCTAACATAGCGGTCACAATAATGCTGGTATCTGCCAGTAATATACAGACTGGATACATTCAGAATTTGTCTACTTTTGCTTAGCAGTAGGAAGCAATACTTTCATTAATAGCCTTGTCACCTAAAATGAAAAAAAAGAATGAAATTGTTTCTTGAAATATGATATAATTAAATCAGTTTTCAAGATCACTAACTCTCAGAAATTTTGCATTATTTTATTGCTGGTTAAAGGGTATGCTAAATTGTCCCTGCCACTAGCATGTAAAATAAATAAGTACATTGCCCAAGTTTGACTTACTTTTTGTAAAATAAGAAGCAAAGGAACCTTTCAGGAACTTTTTGAATAAGTTTTGTTGTTTTTATCTGAACAAGCTAAATTTATTTTTGATGTTTTGGACTTTGATACAACTTTTAAGGGGTTATGCATAAAATACACAAAATACTTGTTTAACGGTTCTTGAGAAATAACGTATAAGGAATAGTGGATGCATCTTCTAATCTTTGCTTACTATTCACAAAATAGTTCACTGATGAATTGGATTTAATACCAACTCTTTATGTTCCATATAGGTAATACAGGTAATCCTCAATTTATGACCACAGTTGAGCCCAAATTTATGTTGCTAAGTGAGACAGTTAAGTGAATTTTGCCCCATTTTACACCTTTCTTGCCACAGTTGTTAAGTGAATCATTGCAGTTACTAAGTTAGTGACATGGTTGTTAAGTGAATCTGGCTTCCCTATTGATTTTGCTTATCAGAAGATCGCAAAAACTGATCATATGACCTAGGATACTGCAGTCATCATAATTATGAGCCATTTGGCAAGCATCCAAATTTTGATCACATGACCAGATAATGCTGTAACAGTCATAAGTGTGAAAAGTCATATGGCCATAAGTCACTTTTTCCAGTGCCGTAACTTTGGTCACTAAATGAACAGTTGTAAGTCAAGGACTACATGTATCGTAGAAGTTTATTGTAATCAAAAGTAAGTTTTAAGACTTAATTCAGCCTGAGTAATGAAATCTTACATTTTACATATTTTACCAATTTACATATTTGTTTTATAAATGTGTGAAAAGAAGTACTAAGTCCAATTTAGACATAACTTTCCTACCTCAAAGCGGTTAAATAACGCTACAGTTTCAGGAATATGGAAAAAACAGGGGCCTTAAATCTTTACAAGGAACTTTGCTTTTGGCAGAAAACACATCACCTCTACAGACTCTGAAACAGAAATTGAGTTGACTAGAATGGCTTCCTGGTATCTAATAATAATAGTAATAATAATAACAACAACAATAATACAATTACACCTCAATTTAACAGCCTTCAATAAAGAAGCTTAACCATTTGTATTATTCTACTGTTATTTAAATGATAAAAATGGGTACAAATTAAATTAGAGCAATTTGCCAGGTTGCATCATTGTGTAAACAGTATAAATTGCCATATTTGTTTACTTATTTAACAGTAATTTGTGAATAGTTGGTGCCTTTCCATTAATTTATTGAAATGAAATTTCCCTTGATATCCAATTATTTAATGAGCATACTATTTGAAGCAAAATTTTAGGTACTTTTCACTTTGAAATTAGTTTTGACCTTGGAATTCCTTGCTGTTCTTCACTAACAATTAAAAACACAGTGAAATTAATAACTTGGAAAACAAAGGATTAAAATATGTTTGGAAAGTTGTGATGAATTTTTACGAGTTTTATTTTTTGTAAAATCTATGATGTCTCTTGATTGTGACTACCTTGGACAGAACATGCTAAACTGAATATAATGTTATTGTGATTTATATTTCTGAGTTTATGATCTTGTGAATTTATGATAGACATAGACAAGTATAAATTAATTTAGAAATTTTGGGTTATTTTGGATCCTCTTCAATATCAGCCTTATTTGTTCAGAATATATTTAACATTCTATTTTGCATTTTTTTTAAAAAGTCATTTTAATATACAAAACAAACAAAAGAAAACAAGTGAAAACAAGAAAAGCATAATGTATGCAAAAATAAAGCAGCTCAGTTTTAAATACTACATCAAACCATGACCACAGAGAATAATATTGATCAGAAATTTCCATCATGGCCATAAACATTGAGTTCTTAAACAGAAAACAAACATCAGTCCAAAGCTGTAAATCTGGGATGCCACTAATTTTCTACTGCGAAAGGGTAATTATGTTTGTTTATAGTTCATGCATGATAAATTCATAATTCATCACATATTGATAAATTTAATGGTAAGTTCCAAAATGTTGGCATATATTTAAAATCACACTCACTTCTTTAAATTGTATTGCTGTTGTAGTCTCATACTTTACTAACAAATGAATAGATATTAAACCAAAAAAGGTCAATAGAGGAACAAATCCTTATGATATGCGTGTATGTCTCATGATTTTACATTTCCAGTATAATGAAGTTGGCCACCAACTTGAGATGGATGAAAATATGGGGAAGGAAATATTTTGTTGAATTAGTCTCATCCTAAGTTTATAAGTAACCTCTTTAACATTTTTTCAGGCTCTTAATGTTTCAGATTTCTTGCAAATTAACAATATCCATTTTAGCAATAAGTTGTAGGCCTTGGTAAATTATAGTCTTCATTTAGCAACTGTTACAGCTGTACTTAAAAAAAAACCACCCCATTTTACAACCAATCCTTGCATTAGTGTGTATTAAGCAAAGGAAAGCAAAAGTATTAGCAGGATCATAGTTTCACTTAACAGCCAAATTGCTGGTTCTGGACCTGTACTTCATTTTTTTACTTAGGTATATAATTCTGTGGTAGTATATAGACTTTCAATATAACAGGTGGGTTAAATAAATTATAATTTATAAAATATAGTATCAAAATTAATAAAAGCAGTCACCATATGTAAAAATGGCATAATTATATAAGAAAGCAGGGAAAATGGGTAGGTTCACAGAAAAGGATACCATGTATTCTGAACAATTCATACCTGTTTAAAAAGCTTCTGCGTGTTATTCCAGAGTGATAGAACTTCACCAGGTCATTTTTTTAAAGTGATATATCTGACCTAGACCTTCTTGATTGTTCCTATCCTAACAAATGAGATTTTAACCTTATTTTCTCAAACTGAAAAGCAAGCTACAGTTGTACTACAAGTTCTTTTTTTTTCCTTTTGGGCAAGTTCTTCTGCCAACAAATTATTTTTGTTGGCAGAAAGAAGCAAATGAAGTAATATCACAATGTTTGTCAAAACTTTGCCATAGAAAAAGTTAGAGATCACAGTTTTAGTTTATGAGGTTATAGAATGCACCTGTTATCTACTTTGGCATTCCTAAAGTTGATGTCTCTTCAGAAACGTTAGGATTACAACTATGATAGTCAATATGGCACTCTTTGTGTCAACTTACCGCCATAAGACTGCCTTTCAGGATGTACCCATCTAGATTCCTGATGGTGGAAGCATCCATCAATAAGTTTCTTATCTCAGAAAAGCTACTAGGGAATTAAATAATATCAGATTTATAATCAGCTTTTCCCAAATAAGCTCTCTATTTACATACATTTACATAAGTCCAGGAGAAAAAAATTAAATATAAAAAATACCAAGGAGATCTACTTCAGTGTGTAAGTACTATACATAGGAAAATTAGCTGTATAAGGTATACTATATTGTAATTATTGTTATTGTTGAAATAAACTATAAAATCCATCCAAGTTTGATAAAATTGTAGTTCCTGTCTCTGATGTCTCATCAATTTAACTTTGTAATTTTTTTAATATAGCAATTGAAGAGGTTTTATTAATCCACAACTCAGTTGTTATGTTATAATTTCCCAATGTTGCACAATTATTAACTTGGCTGCTAAGATTAAATAATTTTTAAGCTTATGATTTGATCCTGTAAATAAATTCAATAACCTAGATCTGAGGAACATTCAGTTCTTTGATGAGTGATGGTGCTTATCTTCCCTCACACAAATGAAAAATTACCCTTTTTTGGATGTCCACTCCAACATTTCGAAGAATGGTTTTGATATATATGAGCCAGACTAACAAGAGATAAGTCCCAATGATATATA